ATGTTTGAGTATTGAATGTTATTCTGTGCATATTTTCATGATTGATGCATTTAATTACTAGGAGGCCTACTAGTGGATTATTTGTTGCAATCTACTGCTAAGTTTGATATCAAATCCGTAATTGTTTGATCCCTCTAACTTGTGAAGCAATTAGGGTTAATAATTTGCTGCGTCAGGAATTTATAATCTTAAGAAGAACATTCAACTAAATTAAATACAACCGCTTGAGTTTGTGTTGTTTAGCTTCATCGATCTCTCTAATTCTTAAGGCTGCCACTAGATTAAATCTTTAGCGCTTGTCTAGGGTTGTTTAATGGTAAGATTAATTAAGATCGCTTGTTTCCTAATTAATTACAATTAAGGAGAGATAGGAAAATAGTTCCAACGGTGAATATTCAAGTATGAATTGATTTAATTTTGCATCAATGATCAGTTGTAAGATTCCGATGGTGGATGTTGACTGAGACCAAGTTTCGTTATATTAATTGATTTCGATTTAAATTGTTTTTGTTTTGATTTTTGCCAAGACTGTTTTCTGTTTTACTCAAAACCCCCCAGCTTTGTTCACATCATCGAAAAATTCGGCTAGACGCTCTTCGTGGGATCGACCCTTGCTTATCATATTTACAGTTTAGTAGTTAGGTTAGAAAGGTTATTAATCTTGGTTGCCTACGACAGCACACCACAAACCAATCATGCTTTATAAGTATGCACCTTACCATCCATGTCAGTCTTCTTCTTGAAGACCCATTTTCACCCTATGGGTTTTACCCTTTCAGGTGGTTCCACCAGAGACCATACTTGGTTCTGGTACATGGAGTCCATCTCAGATTTCATGGCTTCAAGCCATTTAACGGAATCTGGATCCAATATAGCGTCTTCGTAGGTTCTGGGTTCATTATCTTGGTAGACCAGCACATCACCATGTTGAGTCACAAGATAACCGTATCTCTCGGGCTCATGGCGTGCTCTCCTAGATCTACGTAGCTCTTGTGCTACCTGAGGTGGTTCACTTTGATCCACAAGTTGTGGAGTAACCTCCTCTTGATGTTCAAACACCTTCAATGGCACATTATCCCGTCCTTCGTCTAGTATATTTTGTGGTTCTAGAACTTCATCAAGTTCTACTTTTCTCCTACTAGTACTTCTTAGAAAAATTTCTTTTCTAGGAAGACACTAGAACGAGCAACAAAAATTTTGCGCTCTTTTAGGTGGTAGAAATAGTATCCTTTAGTCTCCTTTGGATACCCCACAAATATACATTTACAGGATTTTGGGCCCAGCTTGTTCATAGTCAATTTCTTAACATAAGCTTCGCAACCCTAAATCATTAGATAAGACAAGCTGGGCTTTCGCCCACTCCATAGCTCATATGGAGTTTTATCTACAGACTTTGACGGCACACGATTCAAAACGTGAGTCGCAGTTTCTAGGGCATAACCCTAGAACAATGCAGGTAAATCACTAAAACTCATCATGGACCTAACCATATCAAGTAACGTCATATTCCTCATTTCAGACACTCCATTGTGTTGGGATGTATACAGAGGGGTGAGTTGTGATACTATCCCACATTCCTTCAGGTATTCAGAAAACCCAGAGCTTAAGTATTCACCTCCTCGATCCAACCAAAAAGCTTTAATACTTTTGCCCAACATATTCTGTACTTCATTCCTGAATTCCTTGAATTTATCAAAGACTTCAGATTTATGTCTCGTAAGGTAGACATAACCATATCTATTGAAATCATTAGTAAATGTGATGAAGTATGAATATCCACCTCTGGCCTCAACTGTTAGTGGACCACATACATCACTATGGATGATGCCTAACAGCTCAGTAGCCCTTTCACCTTGTCCTGTGAAAGGAGACTTGGTCATCTTGCCTAACAGGCATGACTCGCATACCTCAAATAACTGAAAGTCAAAAGGGTCCAAAACTCCATCTCTTTGAAGTGTTGTAATGCGGGTCTTATTAACATGACCCAATCTACAGCGCTAGAGATATGTCTAGTTTTGATTGCTATGTTTAGTTTCTTGGTTTCAACATTGAGAATATCTTTATTGTTTAAATCAAGAACATATAATCCATTATATAACCTTGTAATTCCAAATAGAATACCATTTAAACTAAAGGACAACAATCCATTAGATATCTCAAAATGATACCCTAAATTATCCAAAACGGATACTGAAATAATATTTCTAGAAATAAAAGGTACATGATAACAATTATGTAGTTCCAACAACAAGCCCGTGGCAAACATAAACAGTAAGTCCCTATAGCCAATGCAGCCACATGTGCTCCATTTCCAACTCGAAGGTCCACCTCTCCCTTGGTGAGCACTCTACTCTGCCTTAGTCCCTACACATCAGTACAAATGTGACTACCACATCCTGTGTCAATGACCCAAGATGTTGAGGGAGAAAAGTTAATCTCAATCATAAACATACCTAAAGTCATAGCATCTGACTTCTTCTGACTTGCGAGGAAAGCCTTGCAATGTTTCCTCTAGTGGCCAGTTTGTCACAAAAGAAGCAAACTACTTTGCCATTCCCTATGCCACTCTTATTTACAATCTGCACCCAATCTTGCGTTTTTAATGGGTGCCCTATTTTCTTACAAAATGGATAACGCTAAGTCGATTGAGGACATTCTAGATGAGTTTTTAAAGATGACTCTAATCCTTAAAGGAATTGACCAAGAGTTAGGGGACACTAGTCTAGCGATGATCTTACTGAATTCTTTGATTGAGGAATACTAAGTAGTCAAGAATGCCCTACAATATTCAGGAACTGTGCCTAGTCTAGACTTGATAGTTGCAAGACTCAAAGCTAAGGGACTAGAGCTAAAAGTCCAAAAAAGGTCAAGTAGCAATCTGTTTGTAAAAGGTAGGCCAGAATCTAGCCAAGCAGGAAAGAATAACCAGTATCAGCAGGGGTCTAAGAACAAGAAAAAAAGGAAAGGTAATAATAAAACAAGGCCAGAAACAAGAAAGTGTTTTTTCTGCAATAAACCTGGTCATATCAAGAGGAACTGTTTTGATTGGTTAAAGAAATAAAAACAGGGAAACACTGAAAGCAATCTGGCCTCTAGTAAGAACCAATTAGATGAGCCTGAGGTCTTGACAGTGTCAACATCTGACACTGCTAAGGAATGGGTCTTGGAGTCAGGCTGTTCCCTCCATATGAGCCCGAGCCCGAGCCCAAACAAGAACTGGTTTCAGGACTTAGAATTACATGAAAATGAGGCTGTCTATATGGGAAACAATCAGGCCTGTAATGTTAAGGGTATAGGCAGTGTAACCCTTAGACTAACGGATGGAAAACTTGTAAAACTAACCAAGGTGAGGTACATCTCTGATTTAAAATGATGGCCAATACAAACCGCATTCCAATACCTTACGAGTTATCCTCTGTGGTCCAAAATGTCCTCCACATGCATAGGTATGACAGAAGCTTAAAATAAGAATAAATTCATGTTCTGGTATGCACCTTCTTATCACTTGGTTAGCTCAATGCTTCCACATATATTGATCATCCCAAGCATAATACTTAGCATCACTCTTGATCTTGTCCTTTTGAGCTCTAGTCAAATCATGTGGCAACACGTTAGTAACTAAAAAATTAACAATATCTGCATACCATGGTGAAGCCATTTTAATGGAAAACAATTGCTCATCTAGAAATGTTTCTCGCAAAGGAATATCATCGTTGTCACGAACCCAATGGCTAAGGTAATTTGCCACAACATTCTCTGTTCCCTTTTTATCTTTAATCTCCAAATCAAATTCCTGGAGTAGAAGAATCCATCTAATTAGCCTTGGTTTTGCCTCTTTCTTTGTGAGCAAGTAACTAAGAGCTACATGATCAGAAAAAACAATGACTTTAGCACCCAACAAATATGACCAAAATTTTTCTAAAGCAAAAACAATAGATAAAAATTCTTTTTCAGTTGTAGAATAATTGAGTTGGGCGCCATTCAAGGTCCTGGATGCATAATAAATAGCGTGACACGCTCTGCCAACTCTTTGACCTAAGACAGCGCCTAATGCATAGTTGCTTGCATCACACATAATTTCGAAAGGTAGATCCCAATTAGGTGGTTGTATCACTGGTGCTATCGTCAACAATGTCTTCAACTTATCAAATGACTCATTGCACTGCTCATCAAACTGAAAATCCACATCTTTTTGTAACAATCTACATAGGGGCAATGCGATTTTTGAAAAGTCCTTGATAAATATCCGATAGAAACCTGCATGGCCAAGAAAAGATCAAACTTCCCGCACACTGGCAGGGTAAGGTAAAGCTGTAACCAAATCTATCTTAGACTTATCAACCTCTATTCCCTTGGATGAAACAATATGCCCCAAAACTATACCTTGCTCTACCATAAAATGACATTTTTCCCAATTAAGTACAAGGTTAGTTTCCATGCATCTATCTAGAATTAGTGTAAGATTATGCAAGCACTGATCAAATGAATCACCAAAAACACTAAAATCATCCATAAAAACCTCTATAATTGACTCGACATATCTGAAAAAATACTTACCATACATCGCTGAACTGTGGCAAGAGCATTGCAGAGACCAAATGGCATTCGGCGATAGGCGAAAGTACCAAATGGACATGTGAATTTCGTCTTCTTTTGATCCTCTGGTGCTATGACAATCTGGTTATACCCTGAAAATCCATCAAGAAAATAGTAATAAATATAACCAACTAACCTCTCAAGCATTTGATCAATAAAGGGAAGTGGAAAATGATCTTTTCGAGTTGTTGAGTTCAACTTCCTGTAATCAATGCACACAAGCCGGCCTGTCTGAACACGTGTAGGGACCAACTCATTGTCTTGATTTTTCACAACTGTAACACCAGATTTCTTGGGGACCACTTGCACTAGACTTACCCACTTACTGTCTGAAATCGGATAAATTACCTCAGCATCTAAAAGCTTTAGGATTTCTTTTTTCACCACATCCATCATTGGAGTATTTAATCTACGTTGCGTTCCTGTGTCAGTTTGGCACCTTCTTCAAGCAAAATCAGATGCATGCATATGGAAGGACTAATCCCCTTAATGTCAACTATGGTCCAACCAATCGCTTCCTTATCCTCCCGCAACATTTGAACCGGTTTCTCTTCTTGATTGGGTGTTAACTTGTTCGACACAATTACCAGCAGTGACTCATTCTCTCCCAAGTACACATACTTCAAATGGCCCAGTAATAGCTTCAATTCCAATGTAGGGGCCTGCAAAACAGAAGGCAATAATTTCTTGTGAGAATCAGGCAGCTTTATAAAAGAAACTCCATACCTTTCTGGAATCGGTTTTAAAGAACGTAAAGTTGCCACTGTCTCCTTCAATTCTTCACTGAGCTCTATCTCTCCTTTCTCCTTTGATTCCACATGTTTGAGAAGGGCAACCTCTAACTCATCTGCATTATTTAACTCAAAGATCTCTTGTACTATGGAATCAACAGGATCAACAACATCAATAGCAAAAATAGACTGAACATCAGTTGGATATTTCATGGCATCAAAAATATTAAAACAAATTACTTCACCATCAAATTCAATCGTGAGGGTACCATCATGAACATCTATTTTTGTCCAAGCTATATTTAGGAATGGTCTTCCTAGTAAGATAGGTGCAGGGTCAAGAGACGAAGAATCATCCATATCCAAAATGTAAAAATCAGCCAGAAACACTAACTCATTGACTTGAACAAGAACATCTTCAACTACCCCTTCAAGGTATGCATTAGTGCAATCAGCCAATTGAATAATAACACCAATATCTTTCACGTGACGTAGATTTAATGAAGCATAAATAGATCTTGGCATAACATTAATCGAAACTCCTAAATCTAACATAGCTCTCTCAATTCTGGTGTTACCAATCTTACAAGGAATTGTGAACATACCTGGATCCTTGCATTTGGGAGGAAGCTTTCTTTGGAAAACTGCTGACACATTTTCTCCCATTATTATCTTCTCATCACCATTCAACTTCTGCTTATTGGTGCATAGCTCTTTAAGAAATTTTGCATACCTTGGCACTTGCTTAATTGCATCCAACAAAGGTATATTCACTTCCACCTTGCGAAACATCTCCAAAATTTCTTTATCCTTCTCTTCTTTCTTTGACTTCGCGAATCTACTAGGAAAAGGTAAAGTATTAGATTGAAGTTGAATTGAAGGGTTAGGAATTACCTTTGATTCAGTTGTAGCCTCTTCTTTCTCAATTTCATCTTCAATTTCTGCTTCCTTTGCTACACTTGGAATGTTCAGCTTCGGTTCTTCCACTTTCTTGCCACTTCTTAGCGTCACTGCATTCACATTTTCCTTTGGGTTCACCACTGTTTGCCTCCAACTTGAGCCTCTAAACGACTTATAGTAGTTGCCATTTGACCTATCTGATTCTCCAAACTTTGAATACTAGATCTTGTATCTTGTTGAAACTGTTTGGTATTCAAAGCAAGAGACTTAACTATATCTTCCAGGGATGAGTTTGAACTCTGTGAGGCAGGTTGCTTCGGTTGGAAACCTTGTTGCTATTGTTGTCTATTCTGGAAGAAATTATGTCCACCTTCTACTTGTCTATTTCCTCTATAACTGAAATTCGGATGATCCCTCCAACCTGGATTGTACATGTTGGAGTAAGGATCATACTGCCTCGTTGGTCCAAGAAAGCTTCCAACTGCATTAACCTGCTCAGCCCCTTCCTCTTGAAGTGTTCGGCCCATGTCCATTTGTTGTCCCATTGTCAAACATATCCCACAAGCTTTTACCTGTTGTGCATTCCTTACAGCCAACTGTCTAACAAGAGAGGTAAGATCAGATAATTGTTGTTCAATGGAAGATGTACTTACCTCATTCACCCTTTTGGGTGCATCTTGTCTTGTACCAAACTGTTGGGAATTGGCAGCCATGTTTGAGATTAACTGTTTGGCAGCTTCAGGAGTTTTATCCACCAACGCACCTCCACTTGCTGCATCTATCATGTTTCTTTCCATAGGCAGCAATCCTCCATAGAGATACTGAATTAACAACTGATCACTTATCTGGTGGTGAGGACAGCTTGCACATAGCTTCTTGAATCGCTCCAAATATTCATACAATGTCTCCCCATTATATTGCCTTATACCACATATCTCTTTCCTGATGGAGGTAGCTTTAGAGGCTGGGAAATATCTTTCTAAAAACAGCCTTTTCATCTCATTCCATGTTGCGACTGTCCTCGATGGTAGATAATAGAGCCAATCCTTTGCTTCATCCTCCAATGAAAAGGGAAAAGCTCACAACTTAATCTGCTCCTCTGTCACCCCTGTCGGTTTCATGCTTGAACATACTACATGGAACTCTTTTAGATGTTTATTCGGATCTTTACCTGTACGACCATGAAATGTAGGGAACAAGTGAATTAGACTAGACTTAAGTTCAAAAGCAACATCTAAAGTAGGGTATTGAAAACACAAAGGCTGCTGATTAAATCATGAGCAGCCAACTCCTTTAATGTTCTGCCAGCAGCCATCTCTTCTTCTATTTCTGAATCTGGATCATTTGATGAATTGTGGGATGCTAAACCAAGGGCTATATTGAGACCAAAAGATGAAGAACTTGCTTGACGTGCCTCTTTTCGCAACCTCTGTAAACTACGTTCGATTTCTAGATCAAATTCCAACTCTCTTGTAAAATTGGATCGAGTCATAAACCACTAAAATCACCAAATTAAGCCCAAATAAATAAAAAATAAAAAAATAAAATAAATTTTTTTCTTGACAGAAACTAAAACCGGCCAAAAACCCTATTAAATGATTGAATTTGATGATGAGAGGGTAGGGCTAGAAAACTTCTAGTCTTGCTCAGAATTTTGTTTTCTTCGAAACAGGTACTCGCAGCACTCCTAATTCAACCAAAATTTCTCTTAGGAATAGTACTGAATAAGTGTTCATGTTGAATAGTGCTACTGTTCAATTTTTTTTTTTTTTTTTTCAAAAACCTAAAAAAAAAAAAAAAATCACAATTGAACAATTAAAAAAAATTAAAAAAAAAACACAACTAAACACTGATTAAATGAAATAACACAAGAAAATAGAACATAAAAAATAATCGACAAAGAACATTCCCTGGCAACGGCGCCAAAATTTGGTAGCGTGCCGAATGCACCAAATTAATTAACCTTACTAACCTAACTACTAAATTGTATATAGGGTGAGCAACGGTCGATCCCACAGGGAATGATTCGATTAAATCCTATACTCTATGCCAATAGCCACAATGAAAACAACGGAAAAATACAATAAAACCCTAAACAGTAAACAGGACAACAGAGTAATGAAAGTGGGTGTGATCAATGCAATCTAAACTGAAAACAAATTATGGTAGAAAATATCAGATTAAAAACACCAGTTCTCCGTTCAAGATCCACCTAAACATGCATTGGACATACTAATTGTAACATTATTCTGTCTCGTTATTACGGAATTACTGACCCTAGGAAACAACAAGCTCTGTTACCTGAATTTTCCCTTAATTGTCACTTCTGAAATAAACTCTTCAGTTAGATCCTAACCCTTGAACAACCTAGAATAAGCTCTGTAAGTTTAATTCAATGGCAGCCTTAAGAATTAGGAAAATAGATCAATCCAAGCAACAATCACGCAAGTTCGGATTATTTAACTTAGGTTATGTTATTCAAGGTGACAGACTGAAAACTTGTCCATAATCATCTATCACTATGTGTTACTCATTGAATAGAAATAGGATAATTACGTATCACAATTCCTAATTCTAACAGATAAAATTCCGATTAAACAATTCAGCAGGCCATTACTAAATCACTCAAACAGAAAATTATAAACAATTAAAACAGAATAACATAAACAATTTCAATAAAAACGAGATTGAGAACAATGTTACTGAAGTTAACTTACACCAATGACATGAATTCAGGCTTCAAAATCCCCTTGAACTGAAGAAGAAAGATCAGCCGCACATCTTGACATAGCAAGTAAAAGAAAACTGAAAAAAACTAAAAAAACTATTGTTGTTCTCTTCCCTCCTTTTTAACCTAACAACTCATCAATAAATAACATGTGTTTTCCTTAATTCTACCCCAAGAATCATGGAAATTACTTTCCTAGATCTTTGCTAAAAGATAGACTTCCAAAATTGTTAAAATCTTATCAGATATGGAAAACAGAATTCATCTCTAGCTTGCACCAGGATTCTCGCAATGTAAAAGAACTCTTCTGGGCTTGGCCACTTCATAAAAGTTGTAGTCCCGGATGTGTAGATGAATCTGAGCTTTTGAATCACCTGTTTTCGATACCTGAAACTCTAGCTGGGCCTATTCGAAGACTCAACACTCAGCTAGGAATCCTTCTATGAGTAGGATTCCAGGTCCGGTTTTGCAATAACTAATGAGGACCCACACGAACTCAGATTCTCACCCATAATACCTTCCTAGAAATCTTGATTCGTCTACTTTACTTTTTCTGAAGAACACTTTTGCAATCGAGAATTTTGACTTCATGAAAAACCTGAAAAATGCAGCACTGGTTAGAATAACAAAAATCTGGAATTTCCTAATCTTTTCTCACTTATTTCATAAAGTCTATCCAAATATGCCAAACTTACAAAATAAACTCTAATCAACTCAACTAGGCATAAAACAAAACAAAAAACATAATATGGAAGGAATAAAAATATATAAATTACACTCTTATCAACAGACGTCTGGTAATGAATAAACATGTTGATCGAAAAAGTGTCAACAATAATTTGGATAAGGTGATACGAAACATTAGTAGAGTATTTGGGGTACTGTATCACTAAGTATGAAAGTTGCTCTGGGAAAATTAACAGACATCTAACAACAGATAGACACGTTGATTGAAACAAGTGTTGAAAACTTGTAGTAAAACTGTTTGTGGTGCATTAAAGGAGAACGTAATAAATAGTTAACAATGGTTCGGCAAGCGGGTTTCCAAAATATGTTGTGGTTCAGTGTAGAATTCAATCTAATGAATAATGGAATGGAAATTTATTTGTATATGTTATAGGAATAGTATTTAGATTGCTGTTTGTCGAACATTTTTTATTATTTGAAATTGTCATAATCATTGGTATTTAATATTTTTATTAAATATTGTTTACGTGTTACTAATTATTGTAATCTTGTGATGAATTTCTCTTTATAAGTTATTAAATATTTGGATCAATCGTTGATAATCGAATGAATTTTAACTTTTATTTTCAGATTAAACTAAGAAGCATTTGAAATTTGTACATGTGCAAGAAATTACATACAAAAATTACTAAAAATTAAATTTCATACAGACTATTCGGTAATCCACGTTACATCTATGACATGTGATATTTTCTGGTGACGTTGATCTGTCTTAGTGTATACGATTTTGATTTTCCTTGTTGCAAGTCCCAAATATTTGTCCCTTAATGAGAATTGTTGCAGTTGGAGTTAGGGACTTGAATTCTTTCCTGCAATATTCCAGTTTGTAGAAATGATTAGGTAGTTTTACTAATTTCTTTAGAATTTGCATACCTTTGTTGTCATGTATAGTAAGCAGAGCAACGGCAGTGTGATTTTCATTAGTTGTTTAGAATCAAGTTATGCACGGCTCAATACCAAAGAATAGAATTGCAAAGTTTAAAAAGCAGCTTCATGAAGGGTCGATATATTTGATCAGACATATAAAAGTCATACCATTTGCTCCCTCTTATAGACCGATTGAGGGAAAATATCGTATACAATTTCTCATGATCACGACTATACAAGAATTAAAAGAATCGAGGATTGTTATTCCGAGAAATAAATTTGATTTTGCTGGTCTTGATGATCTTCAGAATAGGACAAATGATACAAGGTTATTAGCAAGTACAGTTAATTTGAATATTTATATTTTAAATGCGTGAGAATTATTTTTGTACATCAAATATGATAAATTATATGCAGATATCATTGGAGTTTTGAATGCAATAGGAGAAATTGAAGAGATCAGATCAACGAAGACTAAAAAAAGAGACATCAGATTGCAAATGGCAGAGTAAGTTCTTTTGTTAATATTTTTACGTTCTTCTTCCACTTTAAATAATTTATGCTGATATTAATTTTAGGGAAGTAGTTGACATTATGTTATAGGGAAAGTTTTTTGAAGAAATAGGTGAAGATTTGCAATCAGCGAGTATTGGCCCAATTGTCATAATAGTTACTTCAATGAATGTTAAAGATTTTCAAGGTACTAAAAATATATTACATGGAATTAATATATTTTCGATTACTAATTTATGTCTTTTTTCCATACAGGATGATTATATCTAAATACAACCTCGGCATCTAGAATTTACATAAATTTAGATATTAGGGAGGTGCATTCTCTACAGAAAGAGTATGTGTTTAAGAAATAGTTCTTTAAAGTAATTTCATGGATAGAATGATATTTAATATTTTATCTACTCTTGGTTATTTCAGAATGAACATTCTGCCAGTAATTCAATTACAGAAAAAGATTCTAAATCGAGTTCCGATTGAGAAGGAAATGTTTGAGAATAGAACATCACTTAAACATGTTACCAATCTCCTGTGGCTTGATGTTGATGAGGTACAGTATTCACTCAAAACGTTAAACTGATTATTATAACATAGTTTGTGAACAAAAATTATAATTGTATAGGTGATGGAGTATACAATTAAGGCCAAGATAATCAAAGTTGATGATAAATATGGTTGGTGTTACAATTCCTACACATATTGCAAGAAGAAAATTCCTGATATTAATACCTATTTATATTGTGACAAATGGAACAAGGAATCAAAGTCTCCTTAGATGAGGTATAGCGTTGTTTGTTTTTTGGTGTTTGTAATTATGAATTGTCAATGCAATAAGAAGTATATTCAAATTCAGGCATTTATTTGTAACAATGTTTAGTTAATGTTATAACAGGTACAAGGTAGAAATGAGAGTGTCGGATGGAACTACCGAAGCAACTTTCATATTGTTTGATATAGTTATGCAGAGATTGGTTGGGTTATCATGTTCGCAACTGTTGAACAAACAAGGTAATGATCAGAAGAATATCCCAAAAGTTTTAAGTGAGCCATCTGGACAGATGTTTGTTTTTAAGATCTAGTTGAGAATTATAGATCTAAAGAAAGGATACGAATCTTATACTGTGACGAAACTTTTTTCAATTGATGAGAAGCTTGAGGATGAATATAAATTGCGAGAATTGCAAAAGGTCAGTATAATTTTTATTCCTAAATAGTTACCCTAGATACTCTACTAACGTTTCGTATCACCTTATCCAAATTATTATTGACAGTTTTTCGATTGACATATTTATTCATTACCAAACGTCTGTTCATATTCCACTTTTTCGTATCCTGTACTCTTATAAATATTATTTTGATACTTGACAAAATATTTATTGTCCATCCTTTGAAAATGTATCAATAAGATTTTATTATTAGTAAATCACATTTTTGTTTATCATAATAACTCAACATCTTGTCGAACCATTATTAACTACCTAACTAATATGTCACATGCTTAACAAAATATTTATTACGATTTTCTTTAATATTGAACAGATAGTCTACTAACGTTTCGTATTACCTTATCCAAACAATTATTAGCCCTTTTTCGGTCGACATGTTTATTTATTACCTTTTCATATCCTATTCTCCTATAAATAATGCTCTAACATCAATCACCCATTTAACTTTTGTTCATTTCTTCTCCAAAACTTAATTCGAAGATGGTTGACAAAACATCATAACCAGAAGAATCTACAGCAAATACCAACAACGACCTCAACAACAATAATTCTCCACCAAGGCAACCAGAAGGTATAAACGTTCCACATCTTTTGTATCCTAAATTACAAAATCACAAACAAAACCATGATACATATTTGTAGGAATATAAAAACCACTAAATTTTTTTTTTTTTTTTTTGATATGTCGAGAGTTCATTTGATAATTATATTTACACATTCATGTTACCATTTCCATATATTTATAAAACTTGATTGTATATTGTTTCTGCAATTGGTTTAGACATTTTTCAGGGAATGCCGGAATTGAAAGAGATTTTCAAAAAAGTTGAGACCAATCTGGATGATCTACATACTGCAAAAGACAAATTCACAGAAGTCATTGACCAGCTGTTACAAGTCATGGAATCTACCATGGATGTTATTTATAACCTAAACAAAAGAGAGTATGCATATGCACTAGAGGAACTGAACAACTATAAGAAAAATATGAAACAAAGTCTATATTGTCCAAACTCAATTCACAGTATAAAAAAGCGATGTACTTATGTCTTTTATAATAAAAGTATTATTCTCTATATTCAATTTTATCTTGATTTTGGTGTTGCTCATTAATTGATTGAAAATTGTTCTCCATCGTAACACGTTACTTTTGATTTGATTCTTTCATCTTCGCACATTGGATGAGTACTAACAATAATTATATAAGTACATTAAATAGATATTCAAAAAATCTAACCATTTTCAAGAAAAATATATAAAGATAAAATACAGTCAATATCAAACCTAAAAATGAACTCAATATAAATTTTAAGTTCAAATAATTAATCTTCATAATAGTAATTGACATTAATAATTATAGAGGTACAATTACTAATTTTATATTAACACAATTCTGCACGTATATAAAAGTTATATTTACTCTAAAACTTGTACATATATAAAAATTATTTTTACATCCTATTCTAAAAATATTAAATAAATATACCCGCGCAACGCACGGGCCCGATACCTAGTTAAAGATTTAAGTAAAACTTAAAATAGTTTCATAATAAAACCTTAAAAAAATATAATCTCTTTTTAAATAGTTAGTCTAATATTGTAGATACACCAGACACAGTTAAAAGATGAAATCTGAAAAGGTTATTATAATCCTTGTCAGATTATTGCAGTTTGAAAAAGTTAAACAACATAAAAATTCTACTATTTAAGAATAAAAATGAAATTAAAAAAAAGAAACACTTTCATTTATGAAATTATAAAGTAAAGTTTTTAAAAAAGAAAAATAATATAGGACAATTAAATTATAAAATAAAATTTGATGCAAGAACTTTTTTTAGTTTTGTTTTTAAAGATAGATATTTTTATTTTAAAACATTAATTATAGTTGTGAAAAGATATATTGTTTATAAATTCTATTATTTTTACTTATCTCTAAATCTATATTTTTTTCTATATTAATTCTTTCTAATAAGATAAAAGGGTATAATAGTCATTTTAGTTATATATAATATATATATATATATAATATATATATTATATATAATACTATATATATATATATATATATATGAGAGAGAGAGAGAGCGCGCGACATGTTCCCACCCAAGGTTTGGTGAAATGGAAAGTCATAAATTTTAAATTCATACTCTTAAATTAATAGAAAATCGTTTAATGTAACGGTCAAAGGTAAAAGTGGTTATTTACACTGCATTTAATCTGAAATGAATCTCACCCCCGTGTGATTATCGTCTCAGGCCAATTTGGCCTAATTCCAACATCGTTGGCATTGGCGTGCGCTGCTAGGCTCTAAGGGATGGCATTGGTCGAATTGGCTTGGGCCTTTTGTTGAATAAGTCGTGTGCCAATTCAAGAATTCTGATATTCAATGTTGGAATCAATTCAAAAACCTAGAAAGAAACAACACAAAACACTTCAAAAACAAATCAAATCATCAATCTCCACTCAAATCATCAAAATCAAACTCCAATTGAACCCAAAAATCAACAAATTCGCAAAACCAAAGGTAGGTGGTAGACGACAAACGGTGAGCAACCGACATCGAGGTTGATGGGGGTTTTGGTTGGGAGGAGCCGGTGATGTAATTGGTGGTGTTGGGAAAGATTTTAGCGTAGGTAACGGGATGAAATTTGGGTGGAAAGTTGCAACAATCGTGCAAAACCCTAATGGCGTGATTCTGGGATCAGCGAGCAATTAAGGCTCAGGGTGTTGGGGCGGTTTTTGAGAGGAGGTGTCAGCAGAGAGAAAAGTGGGGCCATGGCCGGTTTCCAAGACTTGGAAGCACGTGGACCAAAAAAGGGCAATGTTTGGGGATTGGCGACTTAATGAGGTGGGGGGTGATAAGGGTTTTGATGTGTAGGTTGAGAGGAGTAAGATGGTGGAGTCAAGAGGTTCAGACGATGCTGAAACAGACTAGAGTGGCAAGAGGCGGCATCGCTCACACATGTTTTAAGGGTGATAAGGGTTATTTTTCTAATTCTATTAATTTAAGGGTTAAAAAGTAATTTACTTACTAAAGGCAATAACCTAAAACTTGCTAATTGGTTGATGGGTGGGAATTTCTAATTTATGAAACCAAAGATTGGAACTTGCCATTTCGCCCAACCTTGGGTGGAACATATATATATATATATATATAAACATTATCTCATCAGAAATAGAAATATAAGGACATGGAGCCAAGGGAAGAAGACACCATCGCCAACAATTACAATCTCTACGAAGCATACAACGAACTTCACGGATTGGCGCAGGAGCTGGAGACGCCATTCGACGCACCCGCTGTGCTTGTAGTGGGTCACCAGACTGATGGGAAGAGTTCTCTTGTGGAAGCTCTCATGGGCTTTCAATTCAACCACGTTGGTGGTGGCACCAAGACCCGTCGCCCCATTACTCTTCACATGAAATACGATCCTCTCTGTGAAGTTCCCTTGTGCCATCTCGTCTGTGATCATGATCCCTCCCTCGCTCACGAGAAGTCCCTCCAAGAAATTCAGGTTCTTTTTACTCAATTCTCTTATATCACCATTGTCAAAATTATAATTCCTTTATATTCCAAAACTTGGTTTGTGTTTCTTATCGCAGTGAAACAAAGAGGTTATCTGGATTAATAGTAAAGAAAAGAAAAAAAAACAAAAAACAAAAACAAAAACACAGTTAGTTTTATTTGCAACATTTTTAAGTATACTTGCTATTAATATTTAAAAAAAAAAAAAAAATGAAATTTGGATTTCATAATTTCAAGACAAAATTAATATATAAATGTTTGATTGAATAGAAAATGATTATGAATATTTATTATGAATGCTCTGATTTTGTGTTGTTGATTGTAGGCATATATTGATTCTTTATTAATATATAAATATTTTTATAATTTCTACACAAAATTAATATATAAATGTTTAATTGAATAGAATTTTAGGTTTTTTATTATACTCAATTATGTTCTATCACCATTGTCAAAATAATAATTTCTTTATATTCCAAAACTTGGTTTTGTGTGTCTTTTAACAGTGATGATTGCAATATTCTATTATTAGACCGTTCTCTATGAGAAACAGTAAACAGGGAGGTTATTCAGAGCAAAAGAAAAAAAANGCCTACAGCAAGCACCCATGTGTTGCACCAGGTTGTCACCAAACAACCTTGACAAGTGAGATCAGTCACTGCCTTTCAACAGGGTCGTTCAACACTGTGATAGCCTTACCGTATTATCTATGCCCTTACTTCAGAATAATACTAGGGCTACGAACGTTTCTAGAATGGCCACTATATGTGCTCATAGGGTTCTCACTATCAAGATTTGAAACACTTGATACCCTCGTCACGGTTCTACCATTCTAAGGACATATATCAATACATGCAATGATGATTTACTCGATATAGTATAAAATGCCTTTTATTGATCAATGAACATTATTACAAAGAGTCAATTCTACAATAGTTGATTGGCTCCAGGGCATCTACTCTAACACTTTCCAACCAAGTTCTCTCAAATTTCTTCAATCATTTTTCAAGGAAAATTCATAAATCTTGGTTTATTTAGAGTGGAATATCAATCCCAAGCATCCTTAGGTAAGATCCTTGCACTAAGATGTTAGATTTAATTTGTAAAGTGTTGAATTCTTATGATTTGTGTTCATAGGATTTAAGAGAAAGGGAGTTGTGTCAAGGAAGACTACTAAAGTATTGGATTGCTCACATCTAAGGTAAGTAAATCCAACCCTAGCCATGATTGGAGCAATATTGTGTAAAGAACTTTTTTTATGCATGTATGTGCTTATATATGAAGAATTGTTGATGGTTAGAATTTATCCATGAGAAGCAGTGTTTGTGTACTTAATGTTTGATGAGAGTTTGAAAATTGTTCTCCATCGTAACAAATTACTTTTGATTTGATTCTTTCATCTTTGCACGTTGGATGAGTACTAACAATAATTATATAAGTACATTACATAGACATTCAAAAAATATAACCATTTTCAAGAAAAATATATAAAGATAAAAGACAATCACTATCAAACCTGAAAATAAACTCAATATAAATTTTAAGTTCAAATAATTGATCTTCATAATATTAATTGACATTATTAATTATAGAGGTACAATTACTAATTTTATGTTAACACAATTCTGTACGTATATAAAAGTTATATTTACTCTAAAACTTGTGCATATATAAAAATTATTTTTACAACCTATTCTAAAAATATTAAATAAATATACCCGCGCAACGCATGGGCCCGATACCTAGTTAAAGATTTAAGTAAAACTTAAAATAGTTTCATAATAAAACCTTAAAAAAATATAATCTCTTTTTAAATAGTTAGTCTAATATTGTAGATACACCAGACACAGTTAAAAGATGAAATCTGAAAAGGTTATTATAATCCTTGTCAGATTATTGCAGTTTGAAAAAGTTAAACAACATAAAAATTCTACTATTTAAGAATAAAAATGAAATTAAAAAAAAGAAACACTTTCATTTATGAAATTATAAAGTAAAGTTTTTAAAAAAGAAAAATAATATAGGACAATTAAATTATAAAATAAAATTTGATGCAAGAACTTTTTTTAGTTTTGTTTTTAAAGAAAAATAACATAGGACAATTAAATTTTTTTTTTAAAACCTTAATTATAGTTGTGAAAAGATATATCATTGTTTATAAATTCTATTCATTTTTTACTTTATCTATAAATTCTTAATATTTTTTCTATATTAATTACTTGAAAGCTAAATTTCATACCTTAGGGCATCGGAATAATAACGCAGGGTTTACAATCATCCCCCCTTATAGGAATTTCGTCCTCGAAATTCAGTTGAAGAGGTCTCGATATATTTCCTTCATATCTTGCTCAACCTCCCATGTCGCTTCTTCTACATTATGATTCCTCCACAGTATTTTAACAAGCGGTATTTTTTTATTTCGGAGCTTTTTTATTCTTCTATCCAGAATCTGAACTGGACGTTCTTCATAAATTAGTTCATCTTTTAACTCCACTTCATTTGCTTGTAATATATACGAAGGATCACTAACATACTTTCGCAACAGGGAAACATGGAAAACATTATGGATCCGGTCCATACTAGCTAGTAAGGCAAGTCTAAGCTACTTTGCCCACTTTCTCTATGACCTCATATGGACCGATATATCTAGGGGCAAGCTTCCCTTTTCTTCCAAACCTCATCACCCTCTTATAAGGAGAGATTTTCACAAACACTTTGTCTCCTACTTTGAACTCTATATCCTTTCTTTTCGGGTCTGTATAGCTCTTCTGTTTGTCTTGGGCCTACTTCATTCTCTCTTGGATTAACTTTACATCTTCTATCATTTTTTGTGTCATGTCTGGACCAAGAGCTTCAGCTAATGCATTCTTTTCTCCTATTTCGTCCCAATGTAATGGAGATCTACATTTTCTTCCATACAAAGCTTCATATGGTGCCATTTTAATGGTTGCTTGATAACTATTGTTATAAGCAAATTCAACGAGAGGGAGAATGTCACACCAATTCAACTTGTTATCAATACAGCACACCCTAACATACCTCCAATATTTGATTTGTTCTTTCTGTCTGTCCATCCTTCTGAAGATGGTAGGCTATAATAGCCACTTTCTACTCAAATACTCATAATGAAATACATATAAATATATAAAGAAATTGGGCCCAAAATTTTCTTTTTATAAATATACTATTCTTTACAAACATATACATTTTTACACAAAATTATAATGTGTACAAAAGTCATCAAAAACATAATGGACAGTGTAACCGCTTCCCCTCGAGCGCCGACGTCTCCGACCGTGTCCTCACCTCGATCCTGCAAAAACATAGAAAATAACGGGGTAGCACTAAAACAATGCTGAGTAAGTAATCTTCTACTCATCTATCCCCGTAACTCTCTCTCTCTATCTTTCCTTACAACCTCTCATTCAATTTCTCTTTGGTACTCTCTCTATTTCTCTTTCTTAGACTCTTTCTAATAACTCTTAGTAAGTCACGCCCCATCTTACCGGGGGCACAGCTGGGACTCGCTCCCACTCTACATGACCTCTACTAGTTCTAGCCGATCGGACTCGGTTGTGCATGGATTCGGAACCCTTGGCCATATGAGTGTATAATCTCTCTCTCGGGTACTCGGGTATAGCCCTCATCCATGCATGCACTCTCACGGCTACACCACTTCTCTATCTCATACTCGTGCCACTCTCTCAATGCGGCGTACATGCGGGAATACTCTACCCTTACTCACGGGTTCCCTATCGCACAACCTACTCTATTCTCTTTCTCTTAACTCTTAAAGTAGCTTATACTCAAATCCTCTACTATGTCTCAGCTACTTCTTAAGTGATAAAAAAATGTGTATAGATAGCTCATGCTCACTATGCACTAATGAATGCCAAATACAAGTTCATCAAAATAGTCATTCTGCACAGGTCACACTGAAAATGACATAACTTGCGTTATACAACTCGGATTGCTACGATTTTGGTCTCTTTTTAAAGCTTAGAAACAGGGCTACAACTTTGAGTTTTGGTATAAACCCAGTTCAATCTGTAACATGCCAAAAAACACTTATAAAGTCACCAGTGACAGGCAGATTCACCTAGGCTTTCATCAAGCAACTCATGTGCATATAAACACTCTACTAAAATTACTACTATACTTCATTCTCTAGCCATCCAAAATGGGAGAAAACTCCCTCTATACCATAATCCCTGTCAAGAAAAGCACTTCCAAAAAGGTTTACAACGCATCTCTCAAACTTCTCTCAAGTTCCTTTCTCAATACACATTAAAACACTTCTCTCTGAAGTGTATCCAACAACCACAAAATAGCTACTCATCTCAACTCAATTTCTCATCAAGCATACTACATACTTATACATGCATACATCTCTACAAGCTCATTCAAATCTCAACTTGGTTGGATTTACTTACCTTGTGAAAAAGTGACTTCCTAGCACTTTTCCTTTCCTTTGTTGTCTTGTCTCCTCTCTACAACTCAAAACAACAACAAGACAATAACAACCAATAAGACTTTACTATAACTATAAGAAAACTCACATCTAAAGCAGAATCCTTACTTAGGATGCTTTAGATGAATCTCTACTCAAAATTACTCAAAAGCTCTCTAAACTCCTTAGAAATCTTGGAAGATTGGATGAGAATTGAGAGAAGTAGCAATGGAAGAGGCGTGGAAATAATGAATAAAGGGTTTCTCTACACTTTAACTCTTTTTAGCTCATATATAAGCATCATTTCCCATTTTGCCCTTGTCCTTCCTTGGAAATTCCATCTATATCCTTTGTTCTTACAAATACACTCCCCCACTAACCTTCTCCATGAAATTTCCTTACATTTTACTCCCCACTTTTCTACTAATTAGGGGTAGCATGGTCATTGTGCCCCAAAGAAGAATTCTCTAGAAAAACTCAAGAAACTTTTTATTAGGCTCGTCGCCGCGGCGAAGAACTTTCCGTCACCCCGCGAAACAGGGCAGAACCTACCTGGGTGCAGCTCCTCCTCGCCACGGCGAAGCTTCTTCTTCGTCTCGCGAAGATTGGATTTCCAAACTTCAACGAAACTCAACAATTTCAAGGCAACCATT